TACCACCACCTGTACTTATTCCATCAAGGACTACACAAAAAACAATCCCCACAGAGGCAGGTGGGGGCATGAACAAAGTATTTCACATGGAACCATCCAAAGGCTTCCCAAACGCTGCCTGTATTTGCTGCTGGCATGTGAGCTCCTGGCATCTGTCATGTCCCCAGCAGACGCAAAGGCAGCTGCCTTTGCCCATTTTGATTCAGAGGGTGCTTTCTTTGTCAGCCTTCGACATTAAACAAGAGTTGTCAGGGCAACGGGAAGGAATTTCTTGGCACCAGCACTAGCGAACAAGCAGAAAAAGGCTCAGCCAGAGTCAGAAGCAGAGCAGAAGCAAAACAGAAGCAGAGCAGAGGCACACCAAGCCAAGGGGACATCCTCTGCTGTGTTGGTGGTAGTGCCTCACCCTGGCTCTGCCAGGAGGAGCAGAAGGGTCCTGTGCTGCACAGGTGAAGCTGACACACCCTTCACTAACCCCTGCAAACCTCAGTGCAGAGTCTCCTGCAGCACTGACTGTCCCCAGGGCTCTTCGTCCTGAACTACAGAGGTGAATCAGCCCTGAGATTTTATTCTATTGCTGCTTTTGTAATTCGCCACAACCCCCCCCAACATATAGATGTGAGTTTTCTCTTATGAAACTTGGTACAAAGCTGTTCTCAGTAATAAATGAAAATTGGAAAATTAAGCTGTGCTAATGATTTTCAAATAGAAATAATCCTATTTTGGGGTAATTTTCAGTGTGAAAGGTGATAAAAAGGCACAAGAGGAAAAGGCAACACGACGAGTGAGCTGCAAGGTAAGGGAGTACATTTTTTTTAGGCTTTAGTGACTTAATTTTTAGCTTTACAGAGGCTCTCCTTGATTAAAACTGCTGCCTTCCCTGTCTGCTTATTTTCCCCACCTTGCACGTCTTTCATAGAGAGACAATAACTTTTTGTTTGGATTGGCTTGTTGGCAAATTTACACAGATTTCCCATACAATGATCTGATTTCAGGTGATGGTGAGCTGATTAGTAGATGTAAGGGCATTTGCTCTTCAGAATTGTGAGGGCATTCAGCTGCTCATATCCATTTAGGTAGTGATAAACAGGAAGAAAAGGGACCAAAAAAAACCAAACCACCAACCCAGAAAAAAAGGGAGCAGCAGTAGAAGAAGCAGCAGGAGGTAGGGCTTGGTCTCTGCACTTGTTTACACAGTGGCTTAAAATCTGTAGGATGAAACTTGTGCAGTTTTCACAGTGAGAGAGTGCAAGCCTGTAGGCAAACACAGCAGCTGCTGGGGTAATAGAGTGGTGTTAAGCCACTGGAAGGTAGGGCAAAGTGCTGTTAATAATGGATGTAGAGCTAAAAGACTTCTAAGTAAGGGGGGTAATGAATAGACTTGGAAAGCATAGTAGTGCACGTTTGGTGATTTATGTGTGAAAAAACCCCACTCAAATCCTGCAGTTTGCTGAACTGGGTCATCATCAGAGCTGCAGTTCTACCTGGTAATGTTTACAGACTGGATTGTATAGAGTTACCGATTTTTCAGCCTTGAGCAAAATACCTCTCTCCTGCTTGGTCTATGATCTAGCTTTCTCAAATTTAAGTAGTTATATGATTATCGGATTATTTCTTTTTGCAAAAGTATGTTTGTGCTTTGTCTGTTGTTTCCACAATGATTCTGCTTGTTTTCCAAGTTCCCCGATGAAAAAACAAACAAATACAAACTTTGAGATGAAATTTCCAATGGACAGTGCTGTGCTTGTTAGGTTTGAAAAAGTCCTATTAGAAGTGAGAGCCATGGAGCAAGTGAAATTGCTGAGTAGTTGAGAACCTGGTTTCGTGCATCAAAACAGTCAGCTCCTGGCCTGAAACATTTCGAGCATAGGGCCAGAATGTACAAACTTGCAGATGGGAAAGGGGGCTGGCTCTGCACCTTGTAAAATTTTTAGTCATCCTCAATCGAAATTACAGCATCCTTGAAACTGCTCTCATTTAACCTAAAACAGAACAGCTGGAGCATAATAGGTGGTAAAAGCTTTTTGAACTAATGTCAGTAATGAACTTTTCTAAGGCTGTCAGCATCTTCTTGTCATGCCTTAAATATTTCAACGGTTTAAAAAAGGTTGAGCAAAATCCTGCTTGTAATTTGTTTTAGAACTTTCCTTACACTGGTCACGTGTGTATTGGTACACCTCCGATGCCAGTGATTCAAGTTTGAAAAGTCCCAAGGGTGGAGTCAAGAAAAGCTAAGTACGTTAGTGACTTATTCATTTTGTCTAGCTCAGAATTGACTTGGACCAAATGGCTTGAAAATGCACAGACTAAACCTGATTATGGTGTGTGTTCTTCTTCTGATGGAGGTTTCTGCCCATGTTGCCATTGGCAGGAGCAGGGACTCTCCAAAAGCCTTGAGGAGGCCTGTGGATGGAGGCTTGAGTAAGATTCATTGTGCAGACAAACTGTGGGTGTCTGTAGCCACAGTGCAACTGACCCACTGCCCAGGTATTCCTCCTGCAGGTAGCTGAGAGATGATTGTATTTTGTGGGTTATCACAGTCCTCTGCAGTACAAGTAAACGGGATCACTCCATGTCAACTTATAACCATCTCAATATGATGTTGGGCAGGGTTTCTACTGACAGTCTTGTTAGTACATTTGCAATTCACTTTCCGAAAAGAAGCATTACCTGACATGCAAAAACTGCCTTAGGGGGCAAGAGAGAAGACAATAAGGCTTAGAAGAATCCCTGCATCATTTGACCTTTTTCTGGAATTTTATGTGTTCCTGAGGGTAATTGCTAAGCTGTATGTGAGGTTGTGCCTTACATAGCTTACTGGTGCTGTAAAAGATGCGTGTGTGTGTCCGGTACACAGGAGTAAAGTGCATGAAGCACAGATAAGCTCACTCATGCACGCAGCACATGTGCTAAGGGAGGGACACAAGGCGTAGTGATGAGTCTGTTCATGTTTAAGGTCACAATGTTTAACAGCATCTGCGCAAGCAAAAGGGATACTGGACTGTAGTGTCTGCCTCCTGCTCCACTGGCCTTCGAGTGCTGACTGCTCTGCTCTGCATTACAACTGTGCAGTGCGGCTCTGAGCATTGTGCAGGGTTCATGCTCTCCAGACCTTTCCCAGCCCATCCATGTTGACTTCTTAAAATCTGGCCAGTTTTCCTCTCCATTAAAATCCTCTGTTGTGCCCCTTTGCAGCCCTTCTAGTTTATGCTGGCAAGAATGACCACTTGGGCATTTTACCATTTTCTGTCTGCTTTGGTCGCTGCTCCCCTCTGTGACTTGCAGCTCTTTGCTGTACCTTTGTGATTTTTTCCATCTAGAAGGGCTTCTTTGTCCCTGGAGTCCTCAAGAAAGCTGACCTCTGTGGCGAGTTAACGCAATTAAATCCCAGCACATGGAAAAGGCATACATAGCCAGCCAGACGCAGCCTTGGGATCCAATCAAAACCAAAACCACTTTACCCCCACAAGGAGGAGGAATGAAGGACCGCTCATGAGCTCTCCTTGCTGTGTGTTGTTGGTGAACCTGCCTCTCAAACATGGCTAGAAACCAAGCCCATGCAGACCCCAGCAGCATGTTTATTATGCAAGGGCAATGCCTCTTCCTTCACAAACTGATGAATGTGTTTGAGGCAGGAGCAGCTGGCAGAGCTTGTTCTCTTGGGAATAGCCAGGGCAGCTTCCCAGGCCATCGGGGACCCTGCTGGGTTAAGTGAAATAGCAGTGTGAGAAGGAAATAAGAGAAGGCCATAGTTTGGTATTTACCCAGAATCACATGTGGATCTGTAAATGTGAGAGAGGACAAAGCTCCTATATAGCAAGTGTTAAGATATAGCTGGTAGGAACATTTCCATCAGGGCAGCTTTCCATTTAAAATAAATAAATAAATGCTGGCACGAATGAGTTCTGACAAAAGTCTAGACAGGAAAATATTGCTCCAACCATAAGATATTATTTCAGCTGATTTCACAGAAACATTTCTCCAAATTAAAGTATTAAGAGCTGTTCAGCTCTTTTTAAGACAAACACAAAAATGAAAAAAACCCAACATTTCACACTCTACTTCTAAGGTTTAACATGTCACAGTAGCTAGTGCAAGCCCTGTGAAAACTCTGCTGGAGTTGGAGTTATTGAGAGTTGTTACCTTAAATGTGCTTGTCCTGTGTTAGCCCAGAGATGCTTATTGACTTGTGCCATGGAAGCCTAAGTATGGGATGGAGGAACCTCCCAAGTCTCTCTAGAGTCTGCCGCTTTATTGAGCTTTGCTGTAAGGTGTAAGGCATATATGGTGGTTGTGGCTATGTTTGTGGTGTGGCTGGTATGTTGTTTTTTGGTGGTTTTCTTTGTGTTTTGTTTTAAATAAGCTTTTTTTTGAAGGAAGGTAGGTAGAAGGGTGTTTGTTAAGTTTCTAGAGTCTCATTTTGCTGTGTTACACGTTGGTAGAGGCAAAGAGTTGGTGATAGTGAGTGGCTTATTCTGTTGTAGCAGAACTCACCAAGTCTTAGTGGAGTTTTATGCTGAGAAATTACCTAGTTGTAAATTGCGTGTTGTGTTCATGTCAGAGGCCAAAATGTTAGCAGGGATGGGTGTGTGTGTGGGGAGAAGCAGTTGGAAAAATTGCAATGAGCTTTAGTCAACGGGGTTAAATGTAGGGCTTCTCACAAGGGAAGCCTCATTTATTAAGCAACTCGATCTCTTCCTGTGAGATCATTTGTGAAAAACAGGTTGAGCCATGTCTGAGGGCGTTGCCCCATAGAATTTATAGATAAAGGTGCTTAATATCCGCGTGTTCCCAGCACAGAGAGGCCAGTTACCTTCTGCAGCTTCCAGAGGGAATAAGACTCCTACGGAGTACAGTTATTCCAGTTTTCTTGTGGTAAGTTTATTGAAAAGAGCTTTTGTTTCTTCCTCTTCTCCCTTTCCTCTGCACCCCTTTCAAATCTCAGGTTTCCTAACGCTGTGATATGTGTGGTTTTCTTCATCAACAGACCCAGGTATCGCTACTGTAACTGCAATGGCATGGTGGAAGGCCTGGGTAAGTAGAAGAAATATTGATGTAAGACACCCTGATTTTTTTTTTTTTTTGGCACCTTAATAATGTAACTTGTAAGTTGCATCAGGCACTGTGTGGGAATGAAATGTTTTCCTTCAGAAAACAGTTTTTCTGACTTTAAAACAGCATTCAGTACTTCAAAAACCTTGATTAAGGAAGTTGCTAATGTGATTACTGGCTTTAAGAAGAGCAAACTCTCCCTATTCCTTCAGTTCAGAGTTGTGCAGGGGGGTATTTGCATGCCCGTGTACGTGGGGAGGTGGTACTGGGGAACAGCAAACTTACACTTTGGCTGCACCTGGCTCCTTGTCTGCTCCCTTCTCTTGTGGCTGTGAGTTTAGGGCACTGGCCTGTCCCCATTTTGGTCCCCAGTTGCACTGGCAAGCTGTGGTCACAGAGAGAGATGTGGTCAAGCCACAGTGTCTTTTTATTTGGTGGGTTTTTAATATTGTAACTACAATTTGGACCTGAACGCTCTGTCCGTCTGCTAGGAGCCAGAAACGCTGTGTATGTTCTCTTTGAAACTTCTGTGGCTTGTGGGAGGAATGTGGCAGGATGGGGGGATGCTCATGGGATGTGCTGAGGGTACGGGATCCTGGGAGCCTTCAGGGTATGGCTCGGGCCAGGCAGGCGGCACCTCTGGTGATGTGCACAGCTCAACTGCCATCCATGGCAGCTCTGCCATTAGCCTCTGTGGAAGGCTGTGGTTACCTCCAGACAACTGTACAGTTACCTCCAGATAACTGTAAGCCAAAGCCCAGAAGAAACCTGATGGAGACATGTGATGGAGGAGTAGTGGTACAGAAGTCTTCTTTCCCAGCACCACTGCCGGTAGCACACAGGCTTCCTCTGGAGTGCTTCTGTCTTGTTTGTGAAAAGATTTGTCTCAGAGTCCTCCCATGTCTCGGCATGAATATGGCTTTCTGCTTTAGCAACCTGGGCAAGGGGG